CCTCTCTGTAAAGGCAGTGAACGACCTTCAAGACAAACAAGAGGGAGAAGCATTGCAGCAGGTGTCAATGCGATGACTTTACCTTAAAGAAATTAGAATTTTAAAAAACAGGCTGGAAGGGGGAGAGGAAATAAATCACCAGACAGGCGTTGCAGCAGGGAAAGGCCACCTCTTCACACTGTGCTCTTTTTTTAATCTATATTTCATAACATAGTATCTGTTATGCTGTGTGCTACAGTGCATACACACACACACACACACTCACACACAGATGCACAGCCTTCACACTCAGTTGTTTCCTTCATCTTGACTGTACAGCCATCGAGTCATTCACCAGACAATGCGACGCACACAGTGTACTTCGCCACTCAACAAGCTAATTTCCTGTACTTACAGTTGCTTTCATGTGGCCAGCTGTATGCACAGCGCTGCTTGTCTTGTCACTCCATCGGCGAGGGTGAAGATGGATGACACAGCGAGCGAGAGGGACATGCACCACATGCCCCGAAAAGCACCGGCTAGTCCAAGTCAATAAGCGCAGGTACCATTGACCCCGGTACACTGTGACTTCACCAGATGACAAAGACAGACATGATGACCAATAACTTGTTGGATGGGTTTTGAAGACTGAATCACAAAAATACAGTGGTGATCTGTGTGATCTATATAAACTAGTGGAGTGTATAACTAGTGAGATGTGACCGAGCTTTTAGCGGTTTGCTGAGCTGAGACACAGAAGCTAATCCTCTCAGAAAGAGAAAGGAAGCTAACCCGATGCAGCCCGAACCCTTTCCCAGTTTGTCATTACGCACTTCAAAGCATATATGATGAAATCCCCCAAGGTATTAGAAGAGCTCTGGCACAGCAGCCCTCCTCAGACCTGTTCTAGCCTAATGCCTCATAAACGGAGTTTGGAAACATGCCCGTTTACTATTTTGAAAGTCTTTGTAGCGTTGGATCTTTAGGATCCTTTTAGAGTTGCAGAGGGAGAGGTGCTTTCCTGCTGGAGGAGACCATTATGCGGCCGAGGGATGCCTGTCCCCTCGCCATGAAGTGCTGCACATACAGTATATGCACGTGGCTCGTTGAGAATGTTTAGATCAGGACAGGAAACCGGGCATTGATCTTGTTCAAAGCTCTGTTGAATGAGTGCTTATAATGAAATACAGTGCGCAAGAAAATATGTGTCCGAGATAGAGACAGGCACATCATTTAAGCCATTCAGTTCCATTCAGTGACGCCACCCAATGCCACTTGTTATACAGCTGGCTGAGCCGTCTGATGATTTGGTTTCATGAATGCATGTGTTATAGGTCTTCACACTGACACAGCCTGCAGAACAGAACTGAAAGAAACAGCTGGTTCATACAGTCAAACAGGGGCAGTGAGGGACACGGCTGAGTTAAGTTCTAGATACAGCGTAAAGAAAGGAAGAAATATAACTACAATCCCTGCAAACAACACGCCTCTGTTAACGCTGGTAGTGCAAGAAAGTGAATATTCCGAGATGCGGCTGCTACTTCTGGGACAGTGAGTAGGAAGGTCTGCAAACTATTATGCTGAATGTTAATGATTACTAGAGCTCAAGGTGACATCTTTACATTGCATGTTTTATTGAAAACTACCCACTCAGATAAAGATGAAGAGAAGATGAAGATAAGCCTGACCTACTGTTTCAGCACTGGGCTGTTTTGGCCCAGTGATGTATGTTAGCATCATATCAGCACACTTAGGAAAACGACTGCAAATGTCAGGAATGTCTGAATGTGATTTCACATTTCTGTACAACATTTGTGTCAAAGATTTCGTCAAATTCTGATCTATCCATCTGTAACAATTACAGGCATCAGTCCTGTTAAAATCAATATCCTGCACCGATATGCTACTCATGCAAGAAAATGCTTATAATTTTTCCATTTAACAGCTGACTCTCCTGGTTCAGCCGTTACATTTTCTGCTGCAGCGTCTCCTAATAATGTCTTAACCCAAGTACATCACACTCTCCCTTTGGGCTGCTCCGTTTCATCTCTCAAAATGGCAGAGAGGGCAACGAAACGGAGCGCGCATAGACTGCTGAAACAACAGGGACCATCAGAATGTGGTTTGTCTATTATCAAAGATAGCGTCTGGTTCTGTGTGTGTTCGTGTGTGTGTGTGTGTGTGTGTGTGAGAGATAGAGAGAGAGAGAGAGAGCAAGAGCAAGAGGGGAAGAGAAAGACAAGGAGAAAATGAAAGAGATAAATTGAGTGGAGGCCGTCTGCCCCCGCTGTTCTCACTCAGCGGACTTGTGATAAGGTTTATCTGCGGTGCCTAACGAGTTCACCCAGTAGCCCACTCCAGCTCCCACCGAGTGGACCGGCACGCGCAGAGCTGCACACGGCCAGCAGTAGGTTGACATCCCTTAGGTGACCTGTGCGCGTTGTTCATGCTACGCTGCTTTGGAACTTTATTGTCTGTCGGAAATGGCTTCGGCCCCGTCGGCCACATCTCTTTTAATCTCGGATTTCTTTCTTTTTTCTTTTTTTTTCCTTCGCCTCCTGTTCTTCATCCTTTCTACTCACTGTAACTCAGAGTGCCAAGAGAAGCTGCAAGAGCTGGAGAAAGAGATGCTGCAGAGCTTTGGCACAGAGAGGCGTGTGTGTCCCAGAGGCAGTGGCTGAGGCAAAGATGGAGACACAGAGAGGGAGAGAAGGGGGGGGGGGGGGGGGTGTGCTGCTGAGTTAAGCCCCTAATCACAGTCTGCTCTGCATGAAGGACTTAAAGTCACTCCATTTAATGCTACCTACTCTTTAGTCCCAAAAAAAGGAAAAGAAATACTACTGCTTACCTCTTCAGCTTTCTGATACCCAGCCCCCCCCCCCCCTTCCTATCACAAACCCATTCACGGAGGTGCACAGCCCACAGCCACACATAAACATGCAGTTCGAGCACATGCGTTGCAAAACTTAAATGAGCACATACTTGCTGACACAGTAATGCAAGCATGAATGTTTCCCTTTCATCTAGCTTTAGCCTTAATAACATGAGCGACCAGCGCAGGTCTTTACAGCAACCGACTGATGTGAAAACAACATACATGCTCAAGTTTGACAGCCGTCAGAAGATACCACCGCGTGACACTGTTTCACGGCAAACCACATTGCGGGACGGACGCGGGGCTGCCGTGCCCTGCACCGGCGTGCTCGGGTGCTTGATTTGTTTGCGCGAGGAGAGGAGAGTATGAGCGGATCCTTAAGAGACTGCAGGGTCCCTCCGGCTCAAAACACATTAATTGACTTGGCGCCGCTTCCAGCCAGGTGTAACACAATTTGGCAGAGCACTGCGGAACGCCGGCGAGATCTTTTGGGAAACCCTACCCCCCACCCTACCGTGTCGAAGCTACACTTTCCGCACTTCCAGCTGCCGTTTCACCTCACCTTCCCATCTCGTCCGCTTGGCCAGCAGACTTCGGGTTGGCGTGCGGGTCTTAATCTAATGGTGGAACATTGATTTATGCTTGGGTGTCCCGCAGCCATTAAGATAATTGCATGATCACTTTATAACATCCTCCCCCCAGTGGCCATGGTAATTTGGCTCCCCCCCACCACCCACCTTGCTCAGTGAGACCCATAACCACATTATAGCGCAAGGAAATGTGGCCGGAAATATCATCTTTCAGCACTTGCAAATTGATTTTATACCATTCCCACTGACTTCTAAACCCCTTTAAGTCTATCTCTCACCTGTGCTGACCGTATGATCTATTGGAGGCTTCTAGGTCTTAACAGCTTGTATTGATCGGAATGCTTCAGCCAGCATCTTAAGGGATGCTCTGGTGTCACCTTGTAATTCCAACGGTCGAGGTGTTTTTGAGTGAGATCATCGCTGAGACAATGTATTTTTAGCTGTTAGGGCAAGACAAGTGGGCTTTGATTGCTTTCAATGGGATGTGTTAAACGGCACTATGATCTCTTGCAACAAAATCTTTATTAAAATGAAGATCCCACCCGCGGCCGCCATGGACTAATGGCCGCTTGAGAGGAGAACTTAGCATCGGTGAAAGTCAAACTGTTTTAACGGAGTGAGCCAAAAGGAAGCACTTTGCCGCTTGAGTAGGATTGCTGAGCTCTACTCAGAATGATGCAGCGATGCTGAACTTTAAACACAGCAACGACAGTAAGGCGATCCATGATCCAAGGCATCTATTCCATCGTGTTTTCTTACGTACTTCATTATTAATTATTAATAATAGTTTCTGCGTTTTATTGTGTGCATCCAATTAAAATAAACTGATAACAGCCAGACTGTGAAAAAGTAGAATTCCTTTCCATTATATTATGCTAAGTGCTTTACCACGTCATCACTCATCATAGAGTCTGTTTTTAAGTTAATATTTGTATATAATTTATTTTTGCTTATTTGTTTGCATTAAAATACTTTATTTTTTTTAATTTAATTTATTTTTTGACTATATGACCAGAAAGGGTTGGACAGTATGACAATATACCTACAAAGGTTGCGATACCATTCACCCCGAGGTAGCTTCCCCTTTACTTACAAATGAATGTGCAGGGTTGCTTCTTGCTTAGACACATTTACATTTAGGATTTTTGCATTATGTGATAAAGTACCTTTCTTTGTCAGGTATTTCATTTGCCAAGTTATTTACAAACAAACAATTTATACCTTTTTGTTTTATATATCAGTGGATTCTCTGCTGAATTTAAAATAACTTGTGCATCATATATATATATATATATATATATATATATATATATATATATATAATCCAGTGTTTACTGTCTGGACTATAGCTGAGCTGCATTGACACTACTTTTTGTTTTTTTTGTTGATGTGTTCATGTGATGTGTGCAAACACGAGAAAGACTATGATATGCAAATGTCCTCCTTTTAAAAAAGTACTAACTGTCTGAGAGTTCATGTGATTTCGATCTCTTGGAGCTTCTGAGCACATGGTAAACCTGTTCTCATTCGGAAAGGAACTTTCCCGGCGGATTTACCTTTCTCTCCGGTGACTTAGTAGCAAAGACAGGCATGTGACAGGCCAGCAGCGGACACGAAAACGGGGACATGGTCTTCCCTTCGTCCTGTCCACATAACCAGCCCAGTGAATTCTCCTCCCCTGAAGAAGAAAACAAGAGAGAATTTAATTTTTTTATCTCTTCTCAGAAATGTGCTACTAACTTGTTTTGTTTGACATCCTGCATCTGACCCTCACAGTGAGATATCGCCTCCTTCCAGCTGTGTCAACACCACGCAAAATCACCAGTAAGACATTTTGCTACCGCAGGTGTGTAATGTATAGATGGTGTTATCAGCATGTGAATGTTCCAATCAGCCAGAGGCTTATTCCCTGTTGTAGGAGGCGAGGCCGGGTACTGCCAACACAGGGCCTCAACAGTGATTAAACCTGCATTTAATCAACAGTGAGAGTCAGTCCCAGCAGGAAAAAATGCAACTGCATGGATTTGAGTTATAATTATGGATTTGCCTGGCGTATGCTCCATCACCCTGCCGCTCTTATATCTCAGCCGTACAACAGGTGCGCCTCTGACAAGGCGCCGGGCAAATCAGCCAAAGTACTCCCATTATGAAATTTTGCAATCATAAATTTCAATTTACAGGAACTAAATTGTGCATGAAAGTTAACAGCTTGCTAAAATTTGCTTCCCTGCGTTGTTACCATACATTACTTTTGGAACAAGCTACACTTTATATCTGTTGTCTGCCTCTGAGGCACGGTCACAGATGCATTGGACTCATTTGCAGAAGTAGAAGTGGAGTTTGTTTGATGAGAGTATTATTTGCTCACTCTCCTTGTGGTAAACCAGTAAGGGGAGCGCCTCGGGGCCAAATAGACGAGCTTACACTGACGGCACCGAGGTTGGAAAATTAGTTTTATTTCTCTGTTTTGGCCACACTGACACAACTCTCATTAGGCCAAACTTCACTGATGTTTAAACTGAAGTGACTGACATTACCTTTTTTCTGATTATGTACTCGCCTTTATAAGAACAATGAGGTGAAATTAAAAATGTGTACCTCACTCGTTTCAGAATTGCCACTGACATTCCTGAACGAACATAAATGTGACATCACTCTTGACAGTTTGCAAACAGGAATCACAGTGGAGCGAAATCCTTGTCACATTCAAAGCTTGAGTACATCTGAATGAATGACAAAATGTATTTATACAAAAGGCGAACAGTAAGGACAGGAAAGAGCAGCATTGGGTATATGCGGGTTGGATGTTTTCATATATCAAAGACGAATCAAATTCTATGACTTCTCTCTTGGATTTTTCATTGTTCCCTTTTCAATCTTTTTTTTAAATGGAGTTTCATTCATTCATCTCCCTTCTAATCTAAACAATGGATACCTCAAACCATCTGTGCATCAAACAGAAACTATCTGCATGGCTACACGCTACACAGGGTCCAGATATATGAAATACCATATATATATATACACGTACTGTATATATATATATATATATATATATTATCTTTTTTACGCTGTCCAACTTCTACACTTATAAAATGCAGACAGCAGAGAGCAAATTATGCTTGGAAAAAAAAGAATGCAACCTGTGCGGCTGGTGTTGTTTTCACCCTGTGAGTCTGTCTGAGTCATCATGGCCAAATATGTGGTCCTGGAGACGCCTACTGTAGCAGTACCTACCACAGAAGCTGCTGTGAGTATGTTGCCAGGTGTCTGTTGTTATGGTGACAACACATGTCACTGCGGCTAGAGAGGTGTTGTCACAGCTTGCCGGGAAGAGAGCGGAGGAAGCAGCCCTTGAGACGGATGGTCGACTTGTCCGAAGGGGAGTAAGGCAGAGGGACCGCCAGCCCGCTGCTCATTTTCTGCACTTAACGCATGGCGGAATTAGAACGCTAGCTAACTAGCCAGCTGTTCCCTGGTCACCTTAATGCTACACCTGTTCCAGAAAATAAGCCGAACAAAGTTGTCACTTGCTGCTGATAGCAACTTCCCTACGCTGTGATAACTGACTGTTAGGAATGGGGTACATAATGATACGGTTTTAAATCATTCAGTCATTTATATTTGCAGTCATCTCGAGTTGTGGAGTGTTCTTTAATAATTCATATTTTGGGGAGGGTTTGGCCTGTGGGCCGACTGTCCCTCAGCGGGCCCCTGCCAGGATACAGAGAGGTGTGAGGTCACTTATTAAAAGTCTTTAATTGAGGGCAGATTGCTTCAGGTGAGGAAGCAGGGCCAGTGATTTCCTTTACCCCAGAGTGTAATCATCAACTTTCTAAAGCTAATTATTAGATTAGCATAAATAATGTTCCTTTTCGGTACGCTTGGCTGCTACTACTGAATTTGTCAGTCAGTAAAAAAAAAAAAAAAGAGGCAGATACAGAGAGATGGAAATAGAGAGAGAGAGAGAGAGAGAGAGAGAGAGAGAGAGAGAGAGAGCGGGATACACAGTTGATGTGAGGGAACACAAATTAATCTTAACCTTCAATCCCATGTGGTAATAATGATGATGAATAACACTGAACACATGAGACGCACAGAACTAAATTGAAAACGGCACAAAACAGGGACACGCAGGCCACTCACCTCAACACACACGTCTACACTTCTTTATTTACGAAATAATCAGTTGGACCTCTGAAGACAGGAAAACACAATCCTCAAGAGTTGTTGCTCCAGCACATTCCTCTTCTATAGATCACTCTCACAGTAATTTCTCAAAACACAAAAGGCAGATTCTGTATTTGGATAGTTGTAAATTGTAAGACGTAACCATAAAACTACCTTGATATTTAAAACGCTTAGTAAGAATGCAGGCTCATCTTTTCACGACATACCCTGGCTATCTCACTATAAAGCAAGGAATCTGTCTCCAGGAACATTCATCCCATCTACTTCACACTTCATGTGGATGTACTGCTGGGGACCCAGGACGTGTAGTGTCAAAGTTCATTATTAATAAACTTTGAATAAACAAGAGATAGCGATCTGTGCAGCTGTGGGGGCGGGTCCTCAGGGCTGTGCTGGGCTTACAGGCCGGGAGACATTGATTGCAGTTCACTTTTGATGCCCGATGCTGAATGTACTCATGTTACGACTCATGTTACGAGGCAGCACTTCAATCGGACTGCTTTGAACGGGTACGATTCCATTCAGCCACGCTCCAGACTGGCACGCACCCTGACATCACTGCAGGCAGCCCAGACATGGGAGCCAATCAATTGGCCCACTCTCGCTCTCCAAACGGCTCGATGGACAAATCAAGCCTTTATTTATTTGTTCTTACTTTATCTAATGTTAATGTAATCTGAATTGTATTTAAATATATTTATATGTTTTGTTCATATCCTTTGTATGTGTGTGAAGGAGAACCCTGGGTAGGCGGATGGGTTGAGGAACTGACCTCCGAGGGGGGAAAAGGGATGAAGAACGGGAGTGGGCTGGAGTGAGGTTTGCAATAGATAACCACAGAACACCGTTAACACTACTGCCAAGTGGGCATGCTATTAATATTAATTAATTAAGACATTTGGGGGACAAAAAGTCACTACATCTACAATACTACCTGAATAAATCCATCTTTTATTTTTCAACAAATCGACTGTAGAAAATAAAGCTATCAGTGCAAACTGTATTTCATAATTCTATAATAATAATGCATATCATGTGTTTATTCTCTGTTTCCTCTGGTACAGCGTCCTGTGAACTGTACCTCACGCTACATCAACATCATGTTGGATTTACCATAAATAGTACTTACCGGCGGGGGGGGAAAAAAGCCCGCAAAAAAACATTAACGTCAGCCTCCTAATGGTAATTACAAGTAGGGGCCATGGACATGCGAGTTGCTGTGGCTCTCTATATGTACCAATTAGTGTCAAGTGTGTCATCGCAGCAAGAGAACTGCAGCAAAGCCACTAATGCCTGCAGTCGGAAATAATACAAAATTACAACCCATAAGTTATATTACGGCTAATACAATGAACTGGTTATTTTGCATTTGTGTGGTCAATTAGTTAAATATAAAGGCTCGGAATATGAATATGTCCAACAAATAAAAACATGGCATTCACTGTATACAGGCCTCGTTTCATTCACAAGCACCTGTGTAAACACAAAACCACTTAGTATAATCATGGATCCACTGTAGGAAACAGCAAAGCACACTGAGCCGTAGATTAACATCTTAAACGGATAACAAAAAAGCTTTATGACATAAGAGCTGGAGAAAATGACACACCATACAGATAATATATTTTCCAAAACCTCACACAAAAGAAATTGTCAGAAAACAAACAAGATATTGTGATTGCGTTAAAATAGTAATAAACTCATTAAAAAAAATCTGAGGCGTAAGGTTAGGATGCAGTCTGAGCCCCACATTATTTGTCATTTATATCAATGAGTTGTCATGCGGATCACTTGGGCTCACTGTAGACCAGAGAATAAAATGTCTCCTATATGCAGGCAGCCTTATTCTCTCCAGTAAAATAACTTACATCTGGAAACATCAAAAGCATAACAAGAAGAGAGTAACAGCGGTTCAGAAAAGATCCAGGAGTCAGAAATGTAGTTGTCATTTTACTGTTTCAGGTTGGACATAGCATAAAGAAGAGCCTCACTGAAAAGACACGCATGCTGAGGCACATCTTAAATTACACTTGCATGGATGTAACCGTTCAAAGGGAGGCTTTTACAGGGCAACTTCCCATCTGACTTCTCAAGACTCTCACAACTCATACTCTCTGCAGTTTATTCACATGTAGCTTCAGTCAAAGAGACTCTAATTAGGCTCTCATCCATTCACGATCCCTCTGTCTCCCGCTCTCAGCTGACTGTGGCCGTTCACTCCACGTTAAACCAATTAGATCTCCCCCCAATCTCCCCGAGCCAATCACATCGTTGCTGTCAAACTTTTAAACTCTTCTCCTCTCTGCTGCGTCGGTTTGTCATTTCAGACCAATCGATGGGACCCTCCTCCGCCCCTTCACTTCCAGTCACCATCACAACAGTGCCCAGTCCTGCTCCACATCCCATCATGCAGATCTTCGGCCAACTCTCTCCATCTGCGGCATCTCTACGCTGTAAATATACAACGCCACGGTGGCGTCCTAGTAG